AAAAGGATTGGTCTAATCAAATTCTGAAAATATTTCTAATATCTATATAAAGTTATCGAATTTCAATATTCTTTTATTTCGAGTAAAGTTGTCAATAAATATCTTGGAAAAAATTATTTCACCAATCTGTTACAATTTTATCATCGTAGTGTGGTATGTTTATAATGCGAAAGCTACTACCTAATCGAAATTATGTTACTAGAAGTTACTAATGTACATGAATCCGAAAGAATACATTATATATTTTACCGTTAACTGCCACAAAATTTAAACAAGGAGTAAAAATCGAGTAATAATGCAGTATTTCTTAAAAATGCAAAATGTAATGTTCCAGTTTATTATATAGACATTAATAGAAAAAATTTCGAATGTGCTTAAGCATTTGACAAAAAGTAAGATGCATTCATCTTACATAAAGATGGTATATTTTATTACTAATATAAATAATAAAATTTGTTGGCTTGTTAATTTATGAACATTTAATTCATGCTAGAATCATCTTAGATAATCTCATCAACTTATTTATTCAAAAAAATATATATTTATATATTTTTACAACTACTAATAAAAAAATATATATATTACTTATATGTTAAGCAATATTAAGGACAACTAAATCATAAAGGATATAATACGAAGATAAAATTAAAGCTTAATGGGCTAAATTCGCAAATTTCAAAATAGCCCAGTAAATCTTAAAATTTACAGAATAAAATAACGAATTTATTTATTCCTAAAATCGTATATAATAAATACAAAGAATAATTAATAAGGAAGAAATGACGGAATTAATTGAAGAAAAAAATATATTAAAAATTTAAATTACATACACCCTTAAACCTTGCCTGATCTTCTGCCAATAAACCTCTAACTGCGACACAGAAATCTTTAGCATAAAGTTCATCCAATTCCAATTCTCTCAAAGATTTATCAATAGCTCCAATAAGCAAATTATTAGGTTTTCCATCATCTCTTGCTGCATTAACTTTATTTAAAAGATCAGAAATGATTGATGCTTGAGTTTCCCAATATCCGATAAGTCGTCCAATTGTTTCAAGATCTTTTTCCATATTCTCGATAGTAGTTGTTAATATTTCCTTTTCTTCTTCTAATTTCTTTTTAATATCATCGCTTTTAGCCAGTTTATTTGTTCTATTTATTCCTTCTTTTACGGCAACAACTGAACAAAATAAATATAAGTATTTAGAACGTATACCCGATTTATTAATAATTTACATAAATGGATGAAAAATATTCAGTAATGGTTTACTCACCAGCACCACCACTTGCGACAGCAGATCCTCCAATAATACCAACAACAGCTGCTTCTATAGCAATGCTAGCACCAGCAGTAAATGGAGCAAGGGCTATAGAAGCCATCGTCAACAAAGCACCGATCCCTGCGGCAGTAGAACCAGCAATCATTGCTTTGGTTGAATAATTAATTTCACCTTCAACTACATCTAATTTGTCCTTTGTCTTCGATTTAATGTTACTTGGATTATTCTGAACGACATTTTTATATTTATTAAGATTATTTCTAATCTTTACTACTTCATCTTTAACACTATTAGCTTGATTCATCAATATTTCAGCAGACTTTAAATTACGGTTAGTATCATCCAATAAAGATTCTAATTCTTTAAAATTATCATCAGAAACGGGTAGATCAACGAAACATTTAATAACTAGTTGTAAGTTAGAAACGTATTTTCGTATTTCGTGACTTTGTTGAATAGAATCTTCTATAAATAAGAGAAATTTTTCTCGTTGAGAGTTAATATTTTCAGTTTCTTCTTGAATTTTATAATCATTTGATTTAACTTCTATGCACTGCCAAAAGTTTTTAACGCTAGAAATAATACTATCTCTCATGTGTTGCATACTAAAGCCCGAATAAGTCACATCTTTAATAGTTGAATTATCTTCAGTTGAACAGGTGGATATATAAACCATATTTTTTTTTATTAAAAAACGAATGTTGAAATATTTGCACTCTCGATAATTAAGTAAATGTTTCCGGATTAAGAAAAACTTTCATGCAAAACGTTGAGGCTGTCATATATATGTGCATGAATTTACTAATTCAGTAAACATCCAGAATTTACATATACGATTTTTGTAGAACATTCCCGAAAATCATGTCCCCATGACGTAAGCTGTAATACCTACCCATTAAAGTAAAATTTTGATAGACTATATGTCACAGTATTTGATAGCCACTCAATTTTTCCGATAGCGATAAACACATTTT